GATACAATAACCATGCCACAATTTCAGAATAATGAATGTAAAATAGAATCATTAAAATGTATATGTAGCACTCCATATGGAGGAGGTATGGCTCAACCAAATACTCGTGAAAATGCGTACGTTTTGGAAAAATCATGTGCAATACTATTAATAAAAAAAAAAAATGGCACATATGAAAAATTCGAAATAGAATCACAATACTTTGTAACCTTTATTCGGATGGGAGATATGGAGAAGGTAGACAATAACAAGTTGAAACTTAATGATACTAGCACAACAGGGAGGTCCACTCTGGCATAGGCGGAGCCAGAAGTGTTGTTCAGCATATGCAGAATCTAAATCGGCCCACCACTAGTAGGGGAGTAGAATGGGGAGGGGGAGCTAATTCATAAAATCGCAAAAATATTTTTAATAGTCACTTTATATTTAATAATAATTAATATTGAAGTATGTTATAAAAATATTATAACTACATTACTTATGTCATATTGTCATTACTAATAATAATAAAAAAAAATACATACATACCTATTGATAATATTAACGTAAATAAACGTTACTCAAAATTATTATAATGACATTCGTCTCTTAAAATCTACCGCTATTATAAAATCGTCTATAACAGCATCAGCATCAACATTGACTGCCATTTCTTGCTCTACTGTCAATACCACCAAAGCATTCAATCTTTCTTGCTTCATGGTAGATCTTAATTTGGATTTGACTAGGGTCAATTTAGAGAAAGACCTCTCACAAGTACAACTTGTTTCTGGGATCACTACAAACTTTTGAATTACATTAAAAAATTGGTTAAAGTATTTATAATGGTCATTAGACTTCAGCCAAATTAACCATTCATGGATTTTACTTTTATTACTGAAACTGTCTTTATTTGGAATCGTAGAATTATTTTTTATTAGCATTACTTCTATTTCTAGTTTTTCAGTATCACATTGAAACGTTTTTGATAGATATGATAGGTCTGTTTGCGATATATCCATATTTAATAAACTATCAACTGCATGTATAGCTTGTATAGTGTCCTGGCTAAATCGTTCATCAATACTATGAACCATCACTTCTATCATTAGATAAAAGGCTGTTATTCTAAGTTCCGATTCTTTAGTTTCTTGAACAAATTGTGTTTTGTTACTGTCTATGTGAGAAGAGATTTTTCTTTTATTAATTAAAGGAATTGGAACATCCAATTCTTTACATATAGATACACTTGTATCAAATATTTTTTTTTAAATATTCTTCTGTTCTTATTTATAAAAATCAATTTTTCAGTAGTTCTGTTTCAAATTATGCACAAATTTTAAATGTCGACCTAATGATCCCGTAGTTCCACCAGTACATGAAAATTCGTTGACATCATCTTCATCACACATATTACAATATCCTTTGTCTCCAATACGTTTGGCATACTGCCGTACAGAACTTTTTAATTTAGACATTTTAGAAGTTGAAATACGTTGAGCTTGAGAGGTGACACTTAAAACTGAGAGACGGCGGAAAACATAATATAATATGGTATCGTTTAATTTGGACATTGGAGTATATACTATATATTATATAATAAACTAAGAGTTTATCAATTATTATCTTTGTTTGATAAACCTATTTTTGTTATTCCCATTATTTACTTTTCATATATTATTATTTATTAGGCGTTTTAATATTTGTTACGGGCTCAGCCATCCATGTCTTTTATATTGTTATATGATATAATTGATAAGCAGCGAAATAATGCACGTTTGTATAGATATAATCTTCGTAATAATTATTGCACACACAGAGCATAATATAATATAAGTATAATCTGCAACGACGTCCTTGACCATCGAACTAACTATAGTGTATACTATAGTGTACGCCTGTGTACTACGGTTAAATTTTTTTTTTCTATATAATAAATTTATTAACATTTATAAATTGTTATACATTATAAATTATTATAGATCATTAAAAACACGTGTTATATTAAATACACGTGTAATACTAAATACACGTGTAATATTAAATACACGGTTAAATGCACGTGTACTTAAATATACGTCTACCCGTGTACCCGTGTATTTCAAATACCCGTAGGAAATCGTAAGCCCTATACATAGTACAATTTAGTACATACATTATTGTATGTTTAAATAAATTTCTTAAATGTTTCCCCTCTGAATAACGGACAACAATTTTAGTGACCGAGAGTGTTGGCTATTCAGAGGTTTCACTGTATTATATTTTATTAATTTTTTTTATCAAATGTATGTCTTTTTATAAAATACTATTTTTTTATGAAATACTGATTTTTTTATCAAATTTAGATTTTATATTGAAATTTTTTTTAATTTGCAACTGAACTTCATTTGAAAATTCTAAAAATGAATTTGCAATTATTTGCAGTCGAAAAAAATTTTGGTTTGGATAGAATCGGAAAGTAGGGGGGAGACTAACTTCATGAGTCAAAAATGTTTATTAAATATATTATTTTCTATTCAATATACTATTTTATTTTAAACAAATAAATAGTAAATACAAATAAATCTATTTTTAAAGTTGGCAAATTAAAAAATGGCCATAAAAATAAATCTTGATATAATAAAAAATATCTAAAAAGAAATAATAAATCTTAAAAAAAAAAGATATATTTGATAAAAAAAATTAATTTGATGAAAAAAAAATAAATAACAAAAAATGTAATTGAAATAAAAGTCTAGTTATATAACATGTACGTGAAATAATGTTTTCATATAAACATATATATATATAATGTTATGATACTTAATGTTGTAGTTTAAATTAATACATTTTGGTTATAAATGACTAATTAGTTAGTAATAATTATATAAAATACAAGGTTTTGTTTTGTTTTTATTAAAATGTTCATTATCGTAATTTTATATAAGTAATGATCTGAATATGTTTTATTTATTTAAAAAAAAATTACGAGTCCTTATTTGAATTTAATTTTGTTATTGGTTGTAGCAAAAAACGAAGAGAGGAAGAAAACCATTAGTTGATTTGTATTTAGTGTTTAAAGAAAACATGATTTATTTAACGAATCTGGGCATAAGATATCTGTGTCAGAAAAAGTTTGGTATGAAATTTCTAGAGAACTTGGAGGAAATCTGTCACCAACGAGCATATTCTTAACTGTTTTTCATGACCGCCACAATTTTCAAAAAAAAATTAAAAACCTTATTGGCATCATTCCGAATAATGTTTTCTTAGATCAGGTCAGTGACGAAGAAACCTCAAGTAACGAATCATCTTCGGTATCAAATACTTCATCTGTATCTTTAAATTCTGGAAGAGAACTGTTCAAGTTCAATTTGACTTACAATTTATTCAGGACCATTTATCCAAATACCGTGACATATAAAAGAAAAACAAAATTAAGAAACTATGAAGTAATAAAACCTAATGTGTGGGCTGATGTTATAAATGACGCATTTTTGTCAAAATATAAACTTCCATGTAATTTTATTTACAAAAGGGCTAAAGTTTTCCCAGAATCAGGTAATAGTAAACAATATATTACATTTTCTGCAAAATGCAAAGATAAATGCTGTGGTGCAAATCTTTATGGTTGGAGTGATTTTAAACCGAAAGAAGATGAACCATTGAAAATATCTGTATTAACGAAAAACACAATTGGACTTGAAACTAAGCATACTACAAAATGACCATTAAGAGGAGAAAAACGTAAAGCCATAGGTGATGAATTAGAGAATGATCTAGCTTATAGTTGGAGAAGAAAAAATGTATCAGATTTAGAATTTGGAAACGTTTCTCTACCAAATCTATATCGAAATGATATTTTGCGAAAGGTCAAACAAGAAGTGAAAGACAAAAAATTAGAAATCGAAAATAAATGTCCAGTACAATCATTGATAGAATTAAAGCATAATTCTGCATATTCTGGTTTCATACATTTCATCGTCATCGATCCATTTATTGTTCATTATTGGACTAAACATCAGCTTTCAATTTATAAGGATCTGAGCCAAACCTATTGTAAGCTATCAATAGACGCAACTGGTAGTTTGATAAAAAAACTCAAACGGTCATCTATTAATATTTTATCAAGTCATATATTTTTATATGAGGCTGTAGTTAGTTCAAGTGTTGGAAATATACTCGTAACTCAAATGCTTTCAGAGAAACAGGATACTCTAACGATTTTTTACTGGTTAGGCCGGTGGATGTTGGAGGGCACACGAAATCCAAATGAAGTAGTATGTGATTATTCAAAAGCAATATTAGGAGCTATATCAAGAGCATTTTGTAATGGCAGAAGCCTTAAAATGTATGTGGATGACTGTTTTGATGTACTGAATGGTCCAGATGAAAAATTGCCTGCTACTTATATCCGTATAGTTGTAACACACGTTATCAAAATATTTTGCCGAATAAAACAGCTAACTGGTATAAAGAATAAAGCACTTAAGGAATTTTATGTTCGTGGATTGCGGCTTCTTCTATCTTCAGAAACTTTGCCTGAGTTCACTAGTATTCTTGAAGCATTATTCACAATCATTCTTAGTGAAACAGATGGTTGGTGTGAAGGGTCTAAAACTATTCAAACGCCATCTGAAACTAGCCGACAGTTAATTTTAGAGAAAATAAGAGGAATACCTTCACAAAGTACTTTCATCAACGATATTGAGGTAGATGATACATACAGCATTGTAAATGATAGCGATGATAAAGCTGATGATAATAATTTTTGTTCACAAACAGGTAGCAAAATTGATGAATATTTGAAAGAAATTTATGAAAGGAGTAAATTAAATTCAGAAATAAAAGGTAATAGATTATCTGCATACTTTATTCCAGATCTAGATATAAATATTTTACGTCTTTGTAAAGAATTTCCAATTTGGACAAATGTTATGAGAAACAAATTTCAATCGCCATATGATGTTGCAAGTTCGGCTGTTGTAGAAAATGATTTTAAAGAACTTAAGACATAGATTCTTAAATATGATGTACGCCCAATGACAGTGGACAGGTTTTTAATAAAACATTTATGTAATATAGAGGCTAATGCAAAACTTTTAAAAAGTTCATTGATACGAAATGAGGCTTCCAAACAGGCGATACAGACGGAACACAATTCATCTGAATCATTAGATGAATCAATTGACCATGAAAAAAAAAAAATAACAATTCAATCTGTTGCAAAAGAAAATTATTACCGTGATGAAATATCAATAATATCTCCTAAAAATGAACCTTCTATTTGTATTGATACCCGAAATGATATAAACGATTCTGATTCATCGCTGAATGCTATAGAAAACTGGCATGGCCAAGGAAAAGACCAAAATGCAATCCAACAAATTAAAACAACAAATCGCAAAAAAAGACAACAAAATATATGGATTCAATGACGGAAATTGATAAATCATTAAGTTCAAGGAATCCAAGGTCAAACTTAAATAGTTTAATACTTAATGGTAATACAACCACCCCCGTTCGTTTAGGAAAAGACAAATATATTGTGTATAATACCTGCCCATTCGATTCAGTCGTTGTAATGTTATCAATGGCATACATAGTTATACCATCTTATAAATGTTTTGTTGATGGTAATGACAATGAACTTCTAAAGTTTTCAGAACAATTAGCTAATAACAGTTCAGGCCGGAGCTTGTATAACACTCGATTTTCAATTATTCGAAAAAATATTCAATGAAGACGAAGGAATTACTAATTTAAAAGTAATTGATGCAAGATGCAATGTCATGTTTATTATAATCAATTTGTTGAAGACTGCTCCTTCCAGCATCGAGAATATTGTGTGATCAAAAATGGATTGTACCTACACCAAAAGACATACTTCTAGTCCAACAATAATATTAGGATTGAGACACGAATTTTCAACTTTTGCAAAATGCAATAAATCAGTACGTAGACAAAACATATTACGAGTGTCCGGATATACATTTTGATGGTTTAATAACATCGATAAGGTATCTACAAAACCATATATTTATTGAGGCTGATAGTATTGCTGATGATCAACAGTTTTCATTACATGACTTTCCTGTGGAGGTATGTGTTAATTCGGAAATGTAAGTTTAAACCTGAATCAATTTGTTATTACATTATAGCTCACAATACTAACTATATGTTTATAACCAAATTAAAAACCCATAACCTAACGTATAATTTAACATTACATTTATCATTTGTAGGTTTATACTTCGAGGCGCCATAGGCTATGGCTCTGATCATTACATTGGATATGTAAGAAGGGGCGTCCCGTGGACAGTTTTTAAAGAATATATTTGGATTACCCATGCTGAATGGACACGATATTGAAATAAGTTTTACTGAGGATTGTATGCCTATCAAGCCTGATGATGAAAAACCAAATCAGTTTATGGATTATCTCGTAGAAAACTATATTGATTCACAGTCAGACTTCCCTCCTCACACATGGGCAGAAATGAGCAGTAGCAGTGAACGAACAACAAATGCATGTGAAAGCTTCCATTCTAAATTTAATTCATGTTTTTACACACCTCATCCGGACATGTATTCCTTCTTAAAAATATTAAAAAAAATTCAAATAGACACAAAAATGTTGATACAAATTTCTAATCAAAAAAAATTAGATCAGTCAATGGAAAAATATTAAATTCATTGAAGAAAATATATGAAAATACAAAACTGAACAAATCTCTAGATATGATTATGTGAAAATCATGGCATTGAAAAGTCAACCGAAAAAATAGTTTAAATAATACCCAGCATTTGAAAATTGGATGTAAGCCTCAATAATTTAATACATTTTTATAACAATAAACTTTTATAATAAATATAATATAAGTAATAACCAAATAACCAAATATTTTTGGGGTGTAAGCCAGTACACCTCCTCGTGGTGCACCCTGGGTAACTCTAAATGAACTGGGACGCATTCGGGCTATGTAAAAATATGACCTTATTTCCTTGGGACTCACTCGGACGATACCTTATTCTGGACGCACTAGGAACATAAAAAAAGGGTAATTTCAGGACGCACTCGGGAGTCACCCGTAAGAAGAGCTTGTGGAATTTGGTAAGCTCACAACGACTTACGTCCAAAAAAAAAAATAATAAAAAATGCCAGAAAGCACCATATCAACCCTCATATAATATTTTATGTAAAACTATATAACATAATTTATATTTTAAAGCAGTTGCAGCTATTTTTAAATCTTTTTATCATCCATTATAATATATACTATTATAAACTATTATTAAATTTGTTGTCGTTGAACTTTTTGGTGTATTTGGTCATATATGAAATATAGCAATACAAAATTAAAAATTATTATTTTATTGAACACAAAACTAAAAATAAGGTCCATGTTTATTAGCAATTTATAACAACATATTATAATATATTTTTTAACGAATATGTAGGTACATACATGCAACAGGTTCACATTTTATGACACATACATAAATTGTCTGTGAGTTTGTAGTGACATTTTTAGTAAGTAAATAAAATAATTTTATATCATAAATTCTGAACACTTAAATTATAAATACAACAAATTTACAAATTTAAAATTAGCTTTGTTAAGTTTTAAAATAATGAAGGTAAACATATATATATAAAAAAAAAAAACATTTTTAGAGGATTATTATTTTGTTCATAGCAAATTAAAGTTTATTAATTGCATATGTTATGTGAAATCCTGGAGTCCCATTGGAGACCTCCCCCCACACTTAAAAAAATTATTCCGGAAAATTGAGTGTATGCCAATCCTGAAAATTAGAATTTGAAAGTAGAAATCTATAAATAATTTTTGAAATTTGTTTATATTTTGTACTAAAAAGCATTTTGCAAATTATAAAATAATATTATGTTGGTGTAATTTTTTTTTGCATAAATTACAATTTTTCTTCATATCCCGGAATCCAGCAAATTAATTGCAAAATCATGTAAAAGTCTGGGATCTGTAGCTCAAAGTGGGGGGGGGCTACCGTGAAGTTGCCCCCCCAAAACAAAATCTTTTTTTCCGGAAAAACTAAAGGTATGCAAATTCTGAAAATAACAGCAATTTATAGCAAATTAATTGCAAAATCATGTAAAAGTCTGGGATCTGTAGCTCAAAGTGGGGGGGGGGGGGTCAACTTCACGTACGTGAACAAACTGCCACCGTTGAACGAAGCCGACGCACCAACCAACAAACACCGACAGGAACAATTTCTGTAAATGATTACTGGATATAAATGTGTTCATGGGTGGGACATAAAAAATATTAATAATAATATGACAATTACCTTGGTAGTATAATAATACAATTTTCTCCTCATAGTAAAAAATTTGTTTTTGACAATATATATTTTTTTCTTTAAATACCAAGAAGATAATTTAATGTGGCTTTTGTTAAGTCAATATAATAATAAGTGATCTCTTGCAAGAGAATAATATTGAAGCTCACATTGTGAATAATAATAAAAATAAAAAAATAGAGATTTTGAGTACAATAATATTTAAGGAATTTTGGAGAATAATATAAAATGCTTTTTTTTACAGGATAATAATATTTTATAAGATTGAAAACCGGACAATTGTTTACCCTGCCATGTGTAATGCCACAATAAAAATAATTCACATGTTATACTACTCAACAATGTGCCATTTAAAAAAAAAATAATAATAATGTAGATCTCCCCGGAGCCTCCATGTGTGAAAGTACAGAGCTTTTTTTAAGGTTACGCAAACCACCCACAACTTGAGGGGAACACTCAAGTTGTGACCTACGAGCCGCGCCACGCGACAAGCCTAAGATTGTTGGGGTGGAACTCGTAGGTTTTAACACCATATGGGGTAATGAAATGCCATTTAATAAATAAATAAATAATGAAAAAATGAAATTTAACAAGAATAATAATAATTTGTATTAAACAATAAACATGACAATAATAATGATAAGATGTGGCTCACGCACACAATACTACAATGGTTGAATAATTTTGACATACATTTTGAAATAATAATTGTTTTGACACATGGCAGTTATAGGAATATAATAATTATGAGGTGAATAATGATTTGGCGCACACGACTAGTGCGTTATAATATATGCGTAATAATTAGCGAAATGCAGGTCGGCCCACGAGGCCCGCCATCACCTACGGTGATTTTAATAATAATGTAAAAATGATGAGAATATGGCCACCGTTGGGTTACCGACTGAGATAACGAAGGAAACGAAAATGATAATTAAAAGAAACATATTACAGTCATAAATGAGAGGGACATGGGGGGGAATATTACATTGATACGTTACACAGGTCTTGAGATGTGGTCCTCTTGACAGCGGGACGGCTGGGCTGAGTAGCCACCAACACACACGCGGTTGGCGTCAACCGTCTTGCTGTCAAAAACGAGAGTTGACCGGATATCTGGCCACCAGTAGGCCCGTGGAGGATCTTAGCCCATCATGTTGTTTGTTACGGCCTCGAGAAAAATAATAATAATCCGAAGTTGACGCGAGTCGGAAGTGGTTGATTCGAAAGACGTGATTGAAAGAACGCTATGTCGGCTCAGAGGTCTCGGTAAAAATGTAACTAGACGATGGTCGGTGGTGTCCAGCCGCTGGTTGTAGACGTCGTCTTGAGAGAGTGGGACAGGTCAGTATCGCATGATCAATGGTATTGAAAATTATAATGTGGGTACAGGTTGCACTGTCGGTACCGATAGTGGCACGTCTTCCTAGTACGACGGTGTCATCCGACCGGCATCCGTTGTGTTCACAACTGAACCTTTGTGTAGAGAGGGGGGGAAGTAGTATGCGGAGACATAACTTTGCAGATTATACTGTTCATCGAGCGTGCAACAATTATGATAATAATAAGGTGGTTTTAATAATAATAATAACAATGATTTATAATTGCAATAATAATAATAATTGTGAACGAAAAACTTGTGACGTTACAAGGTTAACAAAATGTATCTAAGCACGACTATAAAATAATACTATAAAGTCTAATTAATAAATATCTACCTAATACTAATGTCTAATAAATATACATAATACTTTAAGACTGAGTGAACTAGTGAAGTGAAGAATGTATTGGTTTTACAATGATGTGTATTTTACTATGTCTATACTCTATAACAACATTTTCGGGTAGTACAAGCTAGGGTACAGCTAGTCCGAAAGTTTTATCAGGCTCCTATATGTCATAAATAGTTTCTTCTTAGTATTATAAAGGGGACCTTTATCGAAATTGTCAACCGTATTTTT